TTTGCTTTTATTACTTTTCTTAACACCACGAAATCGTTGGGCGTCAATATGGTAGCCAATTAGTTCCAATTAGATATGAAATCCCATAGACTGACACCTCACGCCCCCCCCCTTGACCATTTAAATGTTAGTACCTTCAATATTGCCCGGGTTTAGTTAAATATGTTTCACCATTTTGATCATTAAATGTACAACGAGGAAACTAACTCGTCAACTCCGACTTGGCAGGTGTGTGCACGACCCACTGATGAACTCTTGTAAAAATAGTAGAAATGACTGAGACGAGGGACATAAAGGGGGCTTTTCAATCGTGGGTCTCCTAAGGTTATAGCAATAAACAAGGAAAGATGGCTAGCCAAACAGAATCTAGAGAGGAATATATGCGTGATGAAGAAACATCACTATTATTGTTGGAGGCTTCTTCTATACAGCTTGTTCGCTGTAAACGGAAGAAACCAACTATCCCCACAATCCGTTTTCCCTCAGCTGGTTTAAGTGAAGGTCCTAAATGATATGACGCCAGATCACTGCCAATTCAATAATTTTTGCAGTAATTGGAAGCACCTACTCTGTCGGATAATAAGTTTGGATAATACGGTAGAGCTTTCCTAATCACTTTTCTAATTCGCTTATTTTCCTAACTGTTAATCTGCACATCTACCAATCCAGTAGAAGCAGATATAAAACTCAATGTGGCAGTTATTAAATTGCGCAATTGCGAAGGCAGAGGGAGAGTGGGGCAAGAAACTCTGATTTCACCATGGCTCGAAATGAAAACGTCAAACAATTTTCTTGAGCTACTTATTTTCTCAGAACAGCCAATTTTATCATCTGTAACAGTGCCATTGAAACCACTGCGATTTTACCTTAGATATATCATTTACTTGCCTCATTCTCGGCTTTTTGGAATACTTCACTTGTCAGGTTGTTCAATTTTCTCGCAGCCGAACGCGTCAATCTGACACTCGGTAAGTCTGTCGTTTCAGAAGTTGGAGGGGCTGATTTCTTTGCTATAACAATGTTAATTTGCATTATTTTGTTAATGCTCAGATGAGGTATTGAAGTGAATGGATTCAAGCCTACCTTTTTGTATCTTACTTGAATTCTTCTTAGTCTTCGCAGTTGAATCATTTGATATTTTGCCCTTTTTCATCCTGACTGCATTACCAACTTTAAGTTTTCCAATCGTTTCAGGGGTCGACTGTAGTTCTGAAGAGACGAGAGTTTTGCTTCGATCAGATCTACCTTCCGAAGCAAGTGTACTTGAACTCTTGAAGGCGGAGCAAAAATGAATGCTTAATAATAAACTCGAATATTTGAGGCTACTTAAACGAATTAAGTAAAACAAGCGAAAATTGATTTTCAGTTGCGCAAGCTAATTAGTTATTCCTGGGTTTCACATACCTCAGCAATTGTATTTCGTGTCATTTTCTCGACTGAACATTCAGGTGACTTCCGAATCTGACTCACTTTGCCTTTCGATTTAGATGACCTACTAGTAGCTAAATCAAAAATAATCAGTTTTTCTTTCAAAAAATATACAAGTTTAACAGGAGAGTTGTAAGAATAATGGCACATAAAGTAGATTATTTCAGTGTGCACAATACAAAATCCGTATTCAATGATCAACTATTAAAATAATAAAAGACTTGCAAGATTTCCCCTTCCTTCTTCTCTCCAACTCAGAAATCTCACCAGTGTCAACAATGCTCCTTTTAGAAATACTCGTGGTGACTTTGATGACCTCGTTTACCTCACCACTTGTGTTCATTACACCACGAAGCGTGCACGCGACAGAAGCCTTCGTTGATTTCTGTCTTCCCCTCATTGACCAACTCCTTCGATGAAAAGCAGAGGTAAAGTTCTAATTCAAACTTGCATTTAATGAGTTACAAATCACCATTCGCATGAGTTTTAATCTTTAACGATGAGCTTTGAATTGTAATTAAGTTTGGGATAATTCATGGTCTTTTATTTTCTAGTGTAGCGGATTGCTACGCTAGTAAAGCCTGACTGACTCAGAAATCTCTGTGGCAGATTCTCCTACATCTAGCTAGACTCCCAGAACCAGCTAAACCATAGCCCAGCTATAAAGGAAACAGACGAGTAGCACGGAGAATTCTCCAACATCTAGCTAGACTCCCAGAACAAGCTAAGCTATAGTCCAGCTATAAGGGAAACTGACGTGTAGCACGAAATGCGTTTATTCGGTACGTATATTGCATATAAAGGAAACAGATGTTTAGCACGGAGCACGTTTATTCTACAGAGGATACAGACGTGTAGCACGGAACATTTATTCAGTAGCGGAAAACAGACGTGTAGCAAGGAATACGTTTATTCGATACGGGAAAACAGACGTGTAGCACGGAGCACGCTTATTCAGTACGGATTCAGACGTGTAGCACGGAGCACGTTTTTTCAGTACGGGTATCAGACGTGTAGCACGGAGCACGTCTATTCAGTGAGCATATTACGAACCAGCTAAGCTATAGCCCAGCTATAAAGGAAACAGACCGAAACTAGCTAAGCTATAGCCCAGCTATAAAGGAAACAGACGATAATTCGGAACACGTATATTCAGTCACGTAATGATCAGAAAAGTGTGCACGGAGCACGTTTATTCAGGACGTATCTTGCGGATCAAGTCACATTTATTCAGTAGGTTTATTGGGAGTAAAGTGTACACGCAGGGAGCTTAAACGAACGGAGGCTACTGATTGACCACTGTTTGTACGGCCGCATCTCCCAATCCTGGTGTGCAGGCATGCGATGACGTTCCCACCCTAGCACCCATAGCTCAAGTGGTCCGTTTAAGTCTTCTTGCCAATGAGTTTTGAGGAGGGATACTTAATGTCACTAAGTGAGCGGTCGCTAAGATCCCGTGTCAAATTTGCCGTATACGCGCCCATAGTCACATAGTTTTAGATTATCTATGGACATTGGAAGATGGCAAAACAGATTTTTAGCTCTCCCCCCAAATCGGCCGGGTGTTCTGTGCATTGGTTTGCATTTAGTGATGAGTATAACCAGCGAAACTAGTTAACTACGGGCTGTAGAAGGAGGGGGGGGGGAGGGGTGGGGTAAACTGCGAGCCCACCATTGTTTCAATTTTAGGACTCAACGTGAAAGTAACACTTCATTTGATCCTAGAATTGTGAGATAAACTATGGAGAATATAGGGATTCTATATTACTTCAGTCATGTTGAAATAAATGTTGCGTCAAATCACACAAAACATCGAGATGAGTAGCAGTGTAGGCAATCCCTATCCAATCACAATTAGCCCTATGAATCCCGCTTCTCTGAACTTGACTGGCCCATGTTTAGGCAGCCAACACCTCATTTTCTTGAGAACTCGCGCGGTGAAAAATTCCCTTATTAATTATCTTAAAAATTATATTTAAAAGAGCGACTTTCACGGCAATAAATTAAAGCCTTTTATACCTCTGAGATGGTTCGGTATTAAGGTGGTGATCATGGAGTACGGGTAGGTAGTAGCATATGCTACTAAATTGTTGCCCCCCCCCCCCCCCCAACGTGCTCCAAAGTCAGACGACTTAGACGTGCCTGAACGTAATTATTCAAATAGGGTGTAAATGGAAGGGGAGTTGTGAAGCCACTCGCCGTGTTCCAGATATAGGACACGGCATAAAGTATCATCTAATTAGGATTCGGTCGAACTGAAGACTTAAGTTGTGAAAACTACCGGTTTCACAGCTAAAAAATTGCAGAATACTTCTTGCCCCATGGGAAAACAAATATATATATTACGGTTTTCTCCTTAATTCCATTAGTATTTGGGGAATTAAACATCTCGTTCATTAGGGTATTTTGTGATTTCTATATGATCAATAAGTGAAATTTGTACTAACAAGGAGTAGGAAGAAAGAGGATTTGCAATTAGCTTGCATCTACTTAATTTAAACTATTTCTAATTTGTTTGCCTGCGCAACCGAACACCAATTTATTAAAGTTCAGTTGTTGGGGCTTGCTTGGTGTATACTAGCACAATTTATCCACATGCTTACCAAGTTAGCACAATAATGCCATTATACACTATTTTAACACAGCACAGCTCAATAATTGATTACATCAATTAATTTATTCATATTTTACTAATTATTCAACTTGAGGCAAATGACCGAATTCCTGGTAAATATTAACTGTCCTTCGTCATAATATTTTATCCAATATTCCAGTTTTAATGTTACTTTTCCTGGTTCCTTCACAACCTGTTAAAACTAGCAATGATATCCACTTTACTAATGAGTTGGGTTGTTTGGAGTACGTATAAGTTATTACATTTCTAAATTAATCCTTTTGTTAAACCCAAGATCAAATACTTTTTCACAGATGTCGTTCCCTTTAATCGTACCTGTTATTACCAATCCCCTAAAATAATTCCTCATCTCTTTAAATAAAATAATTAGTAACTTAGATGCTATTGTATACTGACCC